TCCACCATGGAGGGGTGGTAAGCGAGGCCTAAATTAATGGTACCAAAATCGGCCTCCAACTCGTATATATACCCTGCAGCTTCCATAGCAGATTGGGAGTTCTTGTGTACTAGAAAAGTGTCTGAACTGGCTTGATTATTTAAATGAGGTAGAATGTATAATGTGGGTTAGGTAACATTATAAAATAATTCCGTGTGATACAGTTCCTTGTTAATGGAGGGTTCTTTCCATTTCATTTTAACATTCATACTGCGGCACTGTATGTGAGTTAGGCGCCATTCACATACCCTGTTTCCCTGAAAATAAGACCTAGTACTATTTTTGGGAATTGTTAAAATATAAGACCTACCCCGAAAATAAGACCAAGTTGTGACCATTCCCAGGGCCAGTGGTGGCATAAGGGGGAACTTGAACTCGTTGCCAACGAAGCCAGGGCTAGAGGAAGCGAGGCGGCACCTGAGGGAGCAGAGCCACATAAGCCGATGCCTCTTCTATAGAGCTGGCTCCTGTCACAGGCGGAGTGATACCAAATGCACATTCTTCGCTCATTCTGGCCAGCGATTGGTTAGCAAATTGCTCTTGGAAAAGTACGGCACCCCCTGATTGCCCTGATCACCATATTGTTGTACATGAATAAATGTGGATTGTTGTACATAAAAAAAAAATAAGACCTACCCTGAAAATAAGACCTAGTGTGTTTTTTTTTTTTTGAGCCCAAAAAAATATGACAGTGTCTTATTTACGGGGTAACACGGTATAGTGTATGCGTTTCCCTTACGGTTTCTCCGTACGGGACGCAAACGCTAACATTTTTAATCCGCACAAACTCTGCTCGTTTGTAGCTATTATATAGCCACGAATGCGTGGAATCCACTGTATTATCGCGCTTGCACTATTTTTGGGGCCACATGGTTTCGTACCCTGCATTCCGCGCAACAGTCTGAACAATGCACCTTAAAGTGCAGTTTTTTGTTTTCTGTTTAGAGCAGCTCTTCGCGTATTTACCTGTCTAAATTGTGCCTTATTGTACTTCAATGATGTCACAGGGTTTCTTTTATAGACACTTTAGTGAATTTTGTAACTGCAAATCTTAAATGTGGAGACATTTTCTGTGTTGTATGTACCTGAGCATTGCATCAAAGTTTTTTTTGTTTGTTTTTTTTAACTACCTTACGTCCATGGCCGTTTGTGAACGGCCAGATGGACGTCTGCTCAGAGCGGGAGGGCGTCTTAAGACGTCCTGCCCCTCCCCCCTCTCGTGTCCGCGCTGAGCGCCGCACACGAGAGGGAAAACCGTCAGCATGTAAACAGCCAGCGATGGCTGTTTACATACAAGCGGTCAGGCGTCTCTAGAGACGCCCGATCGCTTGCAGGATCTGCGGGTGTGCGCCGCCCCCCCCCCGTACCTCCTCCTGAGGCAGCGCTGAATACTGAAAAATGGCCTGGCCAGGAAGGGGGTGAAACACTATGGCCTTCAAGTGGTTAAAGAACATTCTGCACCAGCCTTTGCCAGTCTCACCCAGTCACCTATTTTGAACCTACATTGTATTAGCTTCCAGACCATAGTGTCCATATTTTAGACTTTTATGCCTACTTCATTCAATTAACTCAAGAACAACGTCCAAACTCCTGTGTGCTGCTGTGCTGGGTATGGTTTATGTTGCACTTACTGTGCCATGTATGGTGCATGTGCTGCTGCTTCCACTAGTGTGTGCGCTAAGCACTGACTGTGCTGGGTATGGGGTGCGTGCTGCTGCTCGCATTGTGCTAGTTATTGTGTGTGTGTGTGCTCCTTGTACTGTTTTTTTTTTGTGTTTTTTGCTGTATTTTTTTTTTTGTCTCCGTAAATAAATGGCTTTTTTCTCTGCTCACACGCACCCGAAAAAAAATCGGGATATTCCTCCTTGCTGATCTCCCTCCGACGTCTGAATGCGGAAGTTGTGTGTATTACATCACTTCCGCATTCAGCTGTCATTTCCCTTGCTGCTATAGCCAGAGAAGAAGCTGGTGAAGCAGATCTTCCCAGGTGACATTAGGGGCCTTAGAGAAGAGAACTAAACACGGTAAGTATGCAGATTTTGCAAAGTGTGTTTAGTTTTCTTCTCCAGGCATATACCGCTAATTGAAGTGTTTAGTACAGCCTGGGCTGTGGGTGAACAGATTGCCTGTATTTAGACCTCTCTGCACCTTTTAAGATACATTCAGAGGTACTGAACACTTTGTATTTGATTGCGCTGGATACTTTTGTCTTTAGTTGCCTGTCACTAGTCACTTTGTAATCTCAGCCTCTCAGGCATTTTATGGACTGAGGATTTATAAGCAGATGAACTTTGTGTAATATCCTGCAGTGTATAATAGTTATCGTTTTGATTATAGATGAATATTAATCAATAATCATTGACTTGTGATACAATAATGGAAGAAAAATTGTTGATTGTTGGGGGCATAATATATTGTTGCATGTTATAACGTTTACAGTGGATATGTGTAGCGAACTTTGTATGAATTAGAGGTTTTCGTTTTCATATTGTAATGTTTTTGCATGACACATTGATTGCAATTGGGAATGGTGGTGGAAATCACCACATGAATTAGGTGGCAAATACATTTGATAATCGCTATGTTGATATTAGTTAGGGTGGCATAATATTTAATAGTGATTTCGGTGATACAGGTCTCTGTTTATAGTGATTACAGATGTTCTAGTACTGGTTGGCGTTAATTACACATTTTACAACAAGGTGCAATAGTTAGCCTGCTATTAGCTATAGCAGGGTGGCTATTGCACCCCTCCACTGCCTGCTGTCAATCTGCTGAGAAGAACCTGAGAGGGAACTTTCTCCTTATCCTGGGTTCCCACCTGGGCATACGAAATATGCGCGTGTGACGCGGGTTTTTACCGAGATTTGCGGTCCACGAAACGCACGTCAAACACGCGTTTACGCGGGCTATCCGGCTGTATCCTAATGGATATGTGCGGAAATACGCCCCAAAGAAGCTCCTGTACTTCTTTGGGCGCAGGGCGTTTTTCAGCGCGTTCCAAAGTGCTGAAATACTCCCAGGTGGGAACCATGCCCATAGGAAATAATGTGATTTAATTTGCTGGGCGTTTTACAGCGCTTCGATCAGCGGCCTAAAGGTCAGCTCCTCTGCTGATTGTCAAACTGAAACAAAAAGTTAAAGCATTTTCTTTTCGGTTCTTTCATGTCGGGCATTTTGACAGATGCGGGCAGTGCAGCCAGCGAACACCCTGACAGTCCGTGTGTTCGACGAACAGACGAACAGCCGATGTTTGACCAACAAGCCCAACACTAGTCTCTAGCACTGGATGTGAGCTACAGCTGTCCTTATGTGTTGCCTTTATTGCAGGAAGCTGGACAACACCCTTCTTAGGCCCCATTCACACTTAGTGACACTTACCTCGAGCAGATTTCCATGCGGCGGGATAGCGCGACGGTCCAGCGACCTCCACCGTCGGGGTGCATTAAAAAAAAGGAAATTTGCGTGACATCCGTGGAAAAAAAGGTCCTGCAGGCGCGATTTGCGACCGCGACAGGCGACATGGAGCTGTACATTAAAACGGCTCCATTGAAAATCATTGGACGGCGACTTGTCGCGATATCGCGAGGCAAAAATGTGCGATATCACGGTGGAATCGTGTGATTTTCCGCTCAGTGTGAATGGGGCCTTATGTGCAACATTTGACAACTTTTACTTCATTGTTTTTGTTTTATCTGTTTAATGCTTCTTCATGATAGAGACATAGATACTTCAATACTGTCTACATGATAATAGGGCTAGTTCTTTTCAGATGTATTGGAAAACATTTGCATCAACATACATTGCCTGTAGGCCACGTGTGCATTTGTACCTGCATGGATGTGCAAGTTCAGGCTGACTTGCAGCCGCATCCTGTCATTGTATTGTACAGGCAACTGCATGCACCAGATGTCCCTCCTGGGCACAGGTTCCTGCATGGATGTATGTGCTGCACAGCTGTGCATATCCATGTAAATGAGGCCGATGGCATCCTTCAGAAGTAAACTTTAGCTGCAATTTGGTATTCCTGAGTCAGGAACATGCAAGTTCCAGCAGCAGGAATCCCAAATCTGCCATTTAGCAGCGGCAGCTGTCACTCATTCAGGCTAGGTTGACACCTAGGGGACACCTCAGCACACAGCGATCGTGCACAATTCCACGCGGTCAGGAGTCGCCAAGGTGTGAACCGATTTGCACTCTAATGGCACCCCAGTCGCGCTGGGCGGATCGCACGGTTTCCCGCCCCGATTCTGCCCGTGCTTCCGAACACACGGCTAAAACATGCTAAAAAAAAAAGGTACTTTTTTCTGCAATTGCTGCACGGATGTCATCCCATTGAAATCAATGGGGCTGAGCGGCAATCACTGCCTGTATTGTACAGGACCGCGTGATCCCGGGGGCGCATCCCGCGTGTCGTGCGGTGTAGTGCAGGTGTGAACCTAGCCTCAAGTTAATGATTGGGTGACAGCGGCCGCATTCGAAAGCGTCAGAACGCTGGCACACAACATATAATAGTATGTGATACGATTATATATAGATAAGAATTAATCCCTATCGATACATCCTGGCAGATTGGGGATTCCCGCGACAGGAAATTGCAAGTTCCAGATGCAGGAATACCAAATTGCACCTCAACCATAGGTGTGAATGGAAGACGAAAGTCGCAATAAAGGATGTGGAGTTGTGTCCGATAGCTGTAATCGGTATGAAATCCCCTGTACTGTACAATGAACTGATTGACGATCAGCTACAAAAGAGTGCCATCTTCTGCTGTAGCCCCAACCTCAGTACAAGGAAAATGTGACTGATGGCGTCTTGAGATATAGCGACTTGGTGATTCTACCAGCTGATGCCAGTTTTGGGTGGAGTTGGCAAATAATGAGACGTTTTCTGATGTCTGACTCATCAGTCGCATTAATGATTTCCTGTCTGCAGCATTGATCGCAAAGTGTCCCTGTCGAAATGCAGTCCCCGCGACTTGTGAGTGTGTGTCGGTGAGAAGTGTCATTCTATCTCACGTAATAGGAAAAGAAAGTTGAAGCCAGGAAGTTGAGTGAAGTAGGGGAAACGGAACCGAGTTATTCGAGCGCATTGACACAGAGCTGTAGTAAGTGTGTAGGCTGGCTGACCTCTTGCTGCTATAGAGATTGTCTATAGGGAAGACCCTGCAGCTGTGCGCAGCAAAGCCTCAGCCCAGAAATAAAAGAGAACATGGACTTAGGTGTGGCCGCAGTGGATTTGTTGCTCTGATTTTCTGGTATGTATGCTGAAAAACTGACTTCAGTCCGTCATTATTATTCTGATCTGTCTTCTTTGATTCACTTTGCTGTTTTTTGTAGTGTGTAAACTTTACCAGGTTTACATCTTGTATAGCGTGGAGTTGCATGTATGGACGGTGCCATTAATTTCATTCTTTTTACACTGAGAAACGTTGTGCGTCGTCACATCTGTAGAGTATAAATCTCTCTATACAGCTGCTTTCTTCTCTGCAGGGTGTGTCGGATACACTCTACTGATCTCTATCAGGAATACCTTCAGCTCCTCAAGCTGGCTTTTCTTGAATGTTTATCAGGAGGTGTTCAATGTATAAAACAAAAGTATCTGAACTCTGTTAGGCTAGCTTCACACCTGAGCGATTTATCTGCGCAGAGATTTCTATTTAAGTCTATGGAAACAGTTCAACCTTTTGTGTGAACTGTTTCTAATGCGCAACAAATTGCAATTGCACAAAAAGGTACAGGCCAGGTTCACACCTGGGCAAACCGTGACCGCGCAGCACTCGTGGACAATACAGCGTGGATTGCCGCACATTCACGGAGTCGCCCATCACCGACAATCGTGCTGTGGGCACCCCAGCCGCACTGGGCGGATCCTGCAGTTTCCCGCTAAAATAGCAGCACGTAGTGTATCGTGTATTTCTGAGATTGCAGCGCAAATGTATTCCATTGAAATCAATGGGGCCACACGGCAATCACTGTCTACAATTGTGCACAACTGTGTGATCCCGGGACACGCATCCCGGATCCCTCGGGTCTGCACCGGCCCTCCGGAGCTATTTTTGGGCGGTTATCAGGCGATTTGGGTCTCGTAGATATCTTCATGCATTGAAAACAGCATAGTTTTCAAGGCAAAAACGCACGAAAATAGCTCACCGGTGCAATCGCCTAGGTGTGAACCTAGCCTCAAGGCTAAAGCTGGCCATACACCAGTAGAAATTGTTTGATTCTCTCATACTTAATGGGGTCAAATGAATGATCGGATTCAGATCCAGATGCCGGATGAAAAATGTTAAAACAACTTCTTATGACATTTTAACAGAGAATGTGTTTTTCATTTGGGGAAACTCCATTCATTCCAAAATGTGAATTTTTAAAATCAAGCAGCATTTGTTAAGTCTCTGATGGCTTTATCGAATGTTCTGATGAGACTTTTGTCTCATCAGATGTAAAAAATTGTCAGCCAAACAATGACGGCAGCCAGTCAGCTGCACTAACTGTTCGGGTATTCTGGCAGCGGCGGGCCCCGGCTGATAAGATAAGCCGGTGGGCGAGATTCCTCCATCTACGCTATTAATTTTAATTCTGTAACTTGAGACCTGGCAATTACATATTTGTGGTGTTACGAGCTTTTCTAAATGCAAATATATATATATGCAATGATTGTAAATGGAAACATTCACCCTGTGTATACGTGTGATTAGGTCATTCAGTTTAGCTGCATTTAAAGAAAATAGAAATCTGTTTGTCCAGGGGCAGATTAACCTCACTGGCGGTATTCCTGAGTGTAGCTTAGGGTTACTTTTCCATACCATAAGCGGTAACCCCGAGCTACACTCGGGAATGCCGCATAGCATTTACTTACCTTGTCCCTCGAGCTGCGCTGTGTTCTGCGGCCGATGCCGGCGTCTGTCTTCCGAGTTCCGTCCCTTGCGAGCGTATGCGTCGCAGGGGGGCGGGATATAAAAAAAAAAAAATCGAAAAATAAATAGAACGAAAAATGACACGAAAAAATCATACCGCCAGGGAGGTTAAATACTCTAAACGCATGTGAACGCAGGTTTATTGAGACGCAGCAAAGCTTGATGTGGGAAGCATAAAGTGTGTTTGTACTTGTCAGATATTTTCTCCTGCATTTAAATATAACAAATGCAGGGGAGTAGTGAGAATTTAGCATATGGAGTACTTTGCTCACAAGGGGTATATATTGCACTTTTGACATAACAGGTATTTTATAGAGCTGCAGCTAACGATTATTTTCAAAATCGATTAGTTAGCCGATTATTAAGTTCGAAACATTATGGTGCACTACCTATTACAGGTGTATCTAGAGCCCTGGTTCTCAACTCATGGGTCGCGACCCAACACTCCCGCCCACAGCTTTTGCACTGACAGGAGACAATATGACAGGGGACACTGATGGGCATTGTACACCGCAACCCCCCCGCCCTGGTTTTCAAGGTCCCCTGCTCTTCTGGGGGACCTGGGACCATGGCAATATGGATGGAGCTCCATCACAGCACAGCATCCCCCACTGGACCTGAGGATCCACCCCAGTTCTTGATAAGATAGGGATACCGGGTGGATCTTAAAAAAAAAATAAAACACTTTTTTTTTTTTTTTTTTTGAGTGTGTGTGAGAATGCCTGAGTGTGTGAGGTTGTGTGTGTATGTCAGTGTTTTTGAGGGTCCGTTCACACTAGTACAGAGTGTTAATTGCATAGTCCAGTGCGATTACCACGTTGTACCGTACAAAACCGCACCTACCGCAAATTCTGGTGAGGGAGTTGTGCTGCATTGCCGTTCATTTGAATGGCACCCCAAATATACCTCCTGCCCACAGTTTGATCGGCCGTACCGTAATGCGCGGTACTGCAAAGCCGTGCGTTCCAATGCGGTGCGATTTGGGTCATGACTTACTGACCAAGGACAAATGTGGGTCCTGAGGTTACACAGGTTGAGAACCACTGATCTAGAGGAAGTGCGTGTGTATGTGTGCGTGTTTTTATTTCCTCCGTAGAACTTGCTAGAGAGGCATAGTCATATACCAGCATCTTTATCTCATGTATGCATCTCAAGCTAGGCTTTGGCACAGAACATACCATGACCTTCTGATAAGCGTTCAGTGCCTTCATTTAGAACATTACAGTAGGTACACTTCCGTTGTACTGAACCAAATGAGTACATGATTTGCTTGTTCTGTGGTAATTGTCATTCTAAGCCTGATGAGGGGGACGCTGCATGGCCCCGAAACGTGGCATTCATGTGGTGACAATATGCGTCAATAAATAGATGTTTTTCTTCACTTTGATACGGTGTGCTGGTGACATCCCTACCAAGTGTAAATGGGACGCAGGAAGCCCCCTGAATGTGTACCCACAAGAGGATTGACACTGCAAACGCCTACATTTATAGTTTAGGTTTATGGTGTATATATAAGCAGATACCGTGCATCATGTTTTCCACAGAGTGACGTTTGGTGAACTGTTTTAATAATGTTAACTCCACACTGTACTGAGCTCGCCAAAAAAAGTTTCAATATATCTATAATGCAATTGGAGATTGTGTGATTAATAATACAGTTGTGAGAGATGCTAAATCAAACCTGTACTGGGATAAACTTCTAGGCTGCCATTGCTGACCTCCTGCTGGAGATTCTGTTTGCCTGACTGTCTCTGGCTTCACTACTTATATGAGTTGCTGACCTTGAATAGGTGACACATGTAGCATATACAGGTGAAACTCGAATAATTAGAATATCGTGCAAAAGTAATTGCAGTAAGTGCTGCAAAAGGGGCCCAAACCAAGTACTGAGTACATACTGTATGCATGCTTGTACTTTTCAGAGGTCCGATATTGTTCTATGTACAATCCTTGTTTTATTGATTGCATGTAATAATCTACTTTTTTGAGGTTGTGGATTTGGGGTTCTTGGGGTTTTCATGAGCTGTAAGCCATAAGCATCACAATTATGACAAATCACGGCTTGAACTATCTTGCTTTGCATGTAATGATTCTATCTCATATATTAGTTTCACCTTTTAAGTTGCATTAGTGAAATAAATGAACTTTGCACGATATTCTAATTATTCGAGTTTCACCTGTACATAGCTTTGGATATAGCACGATGCTCTTAGTGTTAGTAAAACATCCCTTTTTGCAAGTCAATGTAAACCCTAACTGGATGACGCCTTTTAGTTTGCTAAAGTACTGTGTATCATCATCATATCATATCTCTGTTAATAAATAGGGAAATGTGGACTAAAATTTCTCTTAAAATGTGCATTTGTTTTCTGTTCCTGAGTAGGCACATGATTGTTCTATATTCAGGAAAAAAAAAAGTTAATTAAAGATTATCACCAGAAGTTCAAAATCCTTGTTGCATCGCTCAGGGGACCCAGTGCCCATAGCACTTGGTCCCGTTCAGTTCTGTGCAGTGGAGAGGAATTCATAATTAGTTTTGTGTGACAATGCACACCGAGGAGAGGGGTGACGACAGGGTCTTGTGGTATTGTGAATGACAGCGTATTGGAGCCGAGTGCCATCCTTAGAACAAGACAAGCCCAAAACAAAAAAACCCAGCTATTTTTCTGGATTGTGGGCTTGTGGTATTGTGAATAACGCTGCTTGTATCCATTGCACTGACTTTCACAACAACACAAGCTGCCAGCTACCACTCTAGTCTCTCTCTCATGAGTAGCGGGGGACAGGTATGGGCTCAGTTGTCTGTCCAGAAGAGGCACAGTGCTGGAAGATTAGATGGCAGAGCTGCAGAATAGAGAGGGGGGCAATGGCTGCAGTGCTGGTTGTAGTGCCCCTATAGGAATGCCTATCAATTGAGCTTTAGCCTGGGGTGGACCTACAGCAATGGAAAGCCTTCCACAGATGTGAACAGAACCAAGTTCTATGTGCACTGGGTCCCCTGGGGGATTCAACAAGGATTTTCAGCTTCTTGTGATACAATTGTTTCCCATAGCACCCTGGTATGCTGATGGTTTGTGCAGGGTTAAGTGACTTAATTTGGTAGTTGTACAAGTCTTGATCATTTTTAAGATAAAAAAAAAAGCTGTGGTAAAAAGTCTCTGGCATTTCATAGAAAAGCTTGTCTAAACAAGTGTATGGTCTGAAAGTGAAAATCATCGGCCTTGTGCAACTAAGCAGAAGTATTTTTTTTTCTTTGCATTAGAAAAGCCGACTAGTATGTAACAGGAAAATGTCAGCGAGGAGGAGCCTAAGGGTGTGTTTGATACTATTGCAACAGA